CCACAAACTTCTTAAAGCTCTTCCACAGACAGCTTCATTTCAAGTTCAGCTTCTCCTAATTTTGCCTTCCTGTCCTTCCTAAATCAGAAGTTGTGAAATTAACTTATACTAAAAATGAACTGTTCATGAGAGCCAGAAAACTTAATGCAAGGGTACTTTGGTCTAAAGATTGATCATCTCCCCCCACCCTGCATTCACATCCCCCTCTTCCAGAGCTGTTAATCAATAAATTCTCCTTCCTAGCCAGTACAGTATCTATGATGGGAAGACACGACCTTTGGAGACCACAGACATCAGGGCTGCCACCAAGGATCAGACCTGTAATCCAGCAAGACCACCACTCTCCTCTGTCACAGTGGCTAGCACAAGATGCTTCATTCAAGTGAAATGCAGTGAGATCTGCAGTAGTCTGATCCATCCAGTAAGTCTCATCCCAATCTGTAATATTTAAGAGCTACTCAAAGAACAAGTAGATCCTTTCTGAAGGTTTTCAACATTAATATCAACTTCTTCAGATATTCTTGATATATACATGACAGTTGTGGTTTCAGCACTGCATTGCAGATAGTTTCCCACTTCTGAGAAGGTATTTATTCTCTTTTACCAGTTTTACACCTGCCATCTTTAAACTTCATTAGAAGCTTCCATACTTTAGTGTAGCAGAAAACTATAAAGCCTTGCTCATGCCTTCTGTGGTGGAACCAATGCAGAGAAACTGGGAGCACTGGTGCACACTAGGAACAAAAAAAAAAAAAACAACCCAAACCAAATACCCCTGGCAGAGGTTATCAATGTTCATCAAGAGCAAAAGGCTATTTTATTTTTCCTTTCACTAAAAACACATGACCCCCAGATTGAAGAAAAGTCTGTTTTACCAAGGCAAGTTTTGTCTCTTCTGGATGCTGTTAAAGGACACAGAGAAGACTCTAAGAACAGACAGCTGTAAACATAAACGCTGATTTTCTTCAAATCTCAGGTCCAAAACAGACTTCTTACAGAGAAAAAAAAACAAACAAACAAACAAAAACCTTCCCACTGTAGGAATCAAATCTGTTTCATGTGAGGACAGATGATCTGCATTGTCTTTCACAGGCTTTATCTAATTCATCTTCTTCAAATTCACTGAAATGCACACACTCCCCATCTGTATCATTCCCAGCCTCTGCAAAGCTCATTAAGCTTACAGGTGTTCTGAAGGCATCTTTTTCAGGCAGTGCAATCTATGAAAGATGAATTACTACATCCATGCTTATTGTAAGTGCCCATAACAGGCATTTGCTGAGTGAGAGCAAGGTGTCAGACCTGCATGGGGAGAACACTGCTGTCCCATGAGACAGTGGGACAAGAGAATTGCTCTTGTCCAGCTGTTGGACAAAGGTCAGGCAGAACTTAACTTTTAATTCATGTCTTCTCTGTTTTACTATTGGCCTATGGACCAGTGGAAATCATAGCAGAAGAAAAATACCTAATTTATACTTTGGAAAAGGCCTTACTTTCATCAGATTTATAAAGGAATCCTTGTGGATCAAGATCTTTTAGCTGCAAGCTACTTCTGCAGAGAAAAAAATTAAGTTGGTGATTTAAAAAGAGACTTCTTATATAAGGGATGGCTCAAGCAATACTCATATAAGCTTTGGCATTATTCCTCCTGGAGTCTCATTCTGCTGTTTTACCATGCAAAATAACCCTTGGGACTTTTGTACAGCCGGAGCATGTGGAATAGCTCATTGACACACAGAGCTCAAAGTTCAAACACATTGCACCAGCAAGGGCAGCTGCCGTTCCAATCTGTGGCTGTAACTCTCAGATGACATAGCAACAACTCACTGCTCAATGTGCCTGAAGACATTCCTCCTTGCTGCCTTTACCCTGACCTCCCTCCCTTCCTTCTTGCAGAAACATGACACAGGGTCAACAGGCAAGAACTGCTGCATCAGTAGACGCCAGTCCAGGTGATAATTTTTGACAAACTCAAGCCAAAAAGGTAAAACAGATGAAGTGATGGGCAGAGTGCCAAAGACAGTCAAATGTCTGAAGGCCTAGACAAGCTCACTGGGGGTAGTACAAAAGCATCTAAGCATTTCAGTCCCATGGGCTACTTCAGCAGTTCTGTGAAACCTTCTGTAAGGACATTTGGGTTTCCTCGATTCAACCATCCTCCAGTCTCACGGGTACTTGGTTGACATGATTTTTAAAGCTGATTTTAATCAAAGGTGAGTATCTTACCTGGAAAACTGCAGTTGAGACTCCTAGCTCCACCTTTCTGGCAGCTGTAACTCACCTCACTCTCCATCAACCTTCAGCACTCAGCAGGAGAGCAAGACTTTAGCCACAATGGATTTCAGCCACTGCTACCGACTGCTTCCCCAGTTGACTCCTCCCTAGCTACAAAGAAGCAAACAGAAACACAACCTCTCTCTCCCTAGACCTGAGGGCCAAAAACTGTGTGTGTGTGTGATTTCAGCCTGGTGGATATAAGATTCAGAAGGTAAATTCTCCATTTCAGAGACAACTGAAGATGCCAAGATCTTCCCAGACATTTACTCAACTATGGAACTAGGGGAGTGATAAGACACTTGAACTACAACTGCAGAAGCCCTTTGCCCTGCAACAGCTTTCATGCAGGTATTTCTCCAGCTGAGCCACCGCCACACCATTTTCAAAATGTAAGGTTGCTTCATTAAGAGAGCAGGCTGTTTCAGTGAGATACTCCACATGTGCCTTTATGTGCTCACAAAGCAGCTGAAACACCTCCCAGCATCAGGGGGAAGCGAGTCAAGGGAAATTAAAAAAAAAGAACAAAAAAAAAAAAGATTCCCATAAAGCAAACAACACCCACCCAGCCTGGAAGAGTGCCCAGAGCTAAGCTCATGTTAAACAACCATTGCTAAGTTTCTCTTAGTTAAGAAAAAGATGGTACTTTGCTTCCTGGGAAAAAATTGGTTTAGGCATTTTGAAAGGCTCATTAAGCTTGCAGGTGTTCTGGGGATGTCTTGGCTCCAGCACCACAGTGAATATCCCACGCCGACTCTTCCCTTGTTGCTCAAGTGCTGCATAAAGCTTAAAATGGGGAAGGGAGATCACGTCATATGTGGAGGCCCTGAGAGAAGAGATGGATGCCACGAGAACTGCCACAGAGGTGCTCTCCTAGTGATTTCCATTCAGACGCTGACAGAGGAGGCAAAGTAAAAATATCCATACTGCAAATGCACCCAAGCAATAACATGGCTTGTCAAAGAAATGGAGAGTTTATCTCAGCACAGTAGCCAACGCTACCCAGCAGTGGGGAGATGTATGTCAGTACTGAAGGGAGACATGTTACAGCTCTGACTTGTGTTGTGACTGAAGCAACATTTTCCCTCCCATCTAAGAGAAAGCAACAAAGACCAATATTTTCACTGTGGCTAATCCACCACTGGAAGATTAGTCTTATTCAAAATCTGTTTCACCACTGCCTAAGAACATTTTAATTTCTTTAAGTGCAGCCATTTAAAGGACCTTCCCTTTGAATTAGCACTTCTGGGCTTTGTTGCTGGGGGGTTTTTAAGCCCTTTTTCAACTCCTCCATGACAGGCACCACATTTACCTACATACTACTTCAGGAAGATTCCCAAGGTAGCCTGAATAGGGTTTGGTTGCCTAAACAAGGGTTTCTAGCACCATTTTAGGTGCCATACTCCCAGATGCTGCAACAGAAGGCTATGAGTCTCCTCTGTGTCCTGGCTCATCCGTGCCAGCACATATGGACATGTCTCATCACTGGGACAGCTGAAGAGGCACAAGACATTGATAACCAGGCACCTGGCCTGCTCCCTCCTTGTCCTCTACCGCCCAGGAAGGCAGCGTTCATAACATGTTGCTCCTTCCTGAAGCATTTCTTCTGTGTATAAAGTATCCTATGTGCACTGATCTGAAGTTTGGAATGTCTTTGGGCAGCCAGTCTGTCACCCAGGTAATCTGTCATAAAATATGGCTAAAAAGAATACTGATATTGAAGACGGAGATCATGAATTGCAACCTAAGTATCTGAGGGAGGGAAAAAAAAAAGCCATTTTGAAATACATAAACATTTGAATTCTAACGAACAAAAGTGTGAAAATATAATGGAAAGGAGAAGGATGAGGCAGCAAGCTTTGGTGAATATTTCCCTGCAACTGATGTTAGATCTCTAATGCGGAGGCAGACACCTCCAGCAAACAAGCTGTCAAGCAGGCTTCAGTCAATCAGCTCCAGCAAGGGAAGAGGATTGCTGGACAGAGCTAGCTGCAAATGCTGTCTCTGAGCATTTATATCCTTCACTGTGCTAACTCTCAGACTGGAATTTTCCAATGCAATCAATCATGTGCTTGATTTCAGGTGTCTTTCTGAAATGCTTCAAAACTAAATTCCTCCTGAACTCTTAAAATAAAGCTTCCAGAAAACAAAATAGGATCTTCTTGATCCTATTTCCAGATACTCAATATTTCCAGATGTTGAAAGAACAGGCATGTGGAATTGCCAAACCATTTTTAAAGCCTCAGCTGAAATCCTCCTTTAGATTCTGACATACACACTTACTGCTTCTAGCAAAGGAAAAATGCAGGCAAAATCACAGAATATTTTCTAGTAAGTGTACTGTAGCAGACCAGTAAGTCAGATGTGCTGTCAGTGCTTTAGTGTCAATTACTGCGATTGTGATTGACGAGTTTGATAGACTCATTGGCATACAAAACCCATACTATGCCGTCTCATCTGTAAACAGTTTAGAAGCAATCAGGCAGCACAGTTAAAAGTGAGGTGTCCCTCACCACACATTATTGTCTTTCAAGCATTAACAACCAAATTTAAGTTTATGGCAAGTATGCAAATGGAAGAACTAGACTCCTTGCAGCCTTAACAAACAAAACAAGAAAAATAGAAGAGCATTTATCTTAAATTGTTAGGACTAGTGCAAAGTATTAGGTTTATGCTATTACCATTTCTGAACTCTCCATTTCCCTTTCACCCAGCCCTTTATTTACCTTGAATCCCCAAAGGACTAATATTGCCTCTCAATGCTGGCACATGATGGTACCGGTGTGGCCTTGAACTCCTGTACATCCAGTGGTACCTGCCAATTTCCATTTCTGGTCTGGTGATCACTGCCAATTTCAGGTGGTAAAAAGTCAGTGTCACCAGCAAGTTTTACTTCAGTATTTTCAATCATTTAACTTTAAAAACTAAGAGCCCAGAAAAAAACACTGTAGTTTCAGAAGTGAAACAACATCAGCTTACAAATCAAGGGAAGGGTTGGGAGGGACGATCAACAGGGAAATGCTAACACAGGTGTTAAGAAGGGTTGAATAGCTAAAATTCCAGCTAGCATTCGAATTAAAAATGTAAGGAAGGACTTGTTATTCCTTCCTCCCACCCAGTCTCACATCTCCCTCTCTTTGTCCATGGTGAAAAGCGCTGTACCAGAAGTAAGGGAAGACAAAGTCATGGAAAACCATATCATCTGTTTTTTTAAAAGACTCCAAATCTGTTAAAGAAAATGGTTATTGTGATGTGTAATGGTAGGGCAAACACACGAGTTCGCTCCATTATTTTCATACAATAAAAAGTAAGTCATGGCTTTATTTCACCTAGACTCTGCTCACCTCCAAAAATCTGAACCAAGCATGTTAAAACAGACTTGTTCAAAGTTTACAATATAGGAGAGCAGTTATCCTTCAGAGGACAGCGGAAGCTCAGCAACAAGACCCCACATGCATAACCACACCTGACCCTCCTGCACACTCATCACACACTCATCAGCATGGGGCTTCCGAGCCTCCTGAAAGAGACTACTGGCAAAACAACACCAAACCACTTTCAAACCGACATGCCCCCCTCAGCACTGCTATGGCTTTGTCAAGGTTGTCAGGGTGAGATGGACTGGTCTTTATTTAAAATGCACTGCAGTCTCACTCTGTGGTGCCTAAATCAGAGAGCAACCACCATTTCTGGCCAAAACAAATCCAATTCAGCAGTATTTGGGCATGTGGAGGAAGTGAAGGTTACAATGCTGAAAATCCATCTGCTGTAGACTAGATCAGAAACAAATTCTGGGGGCAGGGGAAGTAGGAGTGCCATGTACTTCTGGTCCCTGAGGGGCTAGGAAGGTCCTGGACCTGGTCCCTCTCTCGCATGGCTTTGCTGCTGGTGCAACGAGGAGTTTGGCACAGCTACATTTGCATACGTCAAGAAGAGAAAAAAAATCTTGGCCTCAAATCCAAATGCTGGATCTAGAGATTTGAGACAAGAATTTTTTTGTTCATCTCCTACATCAGCAAATAAACTCTAACAGAGTCTTTAGGTTTTGGGATGCAAACATAGTATCAGTGACCCTCTAAAAGATACTTTGTGACAGGTATCAGGCAGTGTGTTTTTCCTGAAAGACATTATTCCACTTTGTATGGCTTACCCTTCCTTTTAGGAAAGGCAAGTTCCGCATCTTATGAGCATAACCAAATTCGAAAGGTGTCAAAGGTATTTGTTCCAAAATGACTGTGCATGCTTGGAATGAAATCATCTCCTTCTGCTTGCACAGGAACAATCCTGTTTATGAGCTCTAGATGATCTTAAGGTCCTTTCCAACCCAAACCATTCTATGATTCTGTGATCGGAAGGAGCGCCATAATAATTTGACTTGGATATAAAACTGAAAATAACAGAATTCCTTGCTGGTACTGTCTATCGTCTCCTGCCTTCCTCCAAACTGTCTGCTCCCTGCGTTTTTGAAGCTAATTACTGGATATTGGTAACAGATTCAGATTTAAAAATAAATAAATTAAAAAGACTGGTTATTTTAATATTATTTAAGTATTTTAATATTATTGAAAATTTTCATTTGCACTGCAATAGTATCTAGACCAACTCTTGACACCAAAAGGGTTTTATCCTGCCAGGCCTAAACCCACAATTCGGGATTTCTCCTGCAGTAGCTACAAAATCCACTTGGATCTGAGCAGCAGAGCAGGCAGCTTTCTTTCTCCCTTGGCCTGGGGAGACACTGGTGAAGTCACCACTGTCTGCTGTGGGACAAACATGAAAACTGTACATGTGGAGACAACATCATTTCTGTAAATTAAAATATTCTATGAAGTTGAGTTTTTTTAATTAGCAGTTTCTGATTTTGCAGTAACAGTGCTTCTTTCATTAGGAGCCAGTTCAAATTCCATAAGGAATCTCAGTTTTTCTGCTGCTCTGCAAAGAGCCACTTAGCAATGGCTGTTTGGTAGCCCTTACTGCATGCCTGGCACAACCTCTGAAGTTGAAAAGCATCTTTGGTGGGTTTGCTGGGACCCACCCAGGCCCATCATCACCAGGTCAAAAGCCCCACAGGCTTCAGTGATGTAACAACTACTGCGTACTGTATGTACGAGTTAGAAGTTTAACTCTGTACCCCAATAGTTAAGAAAGGAAATAGCTTTAAATGACTTCTTTACCTTCTGCTTTCTGAGGAACTAACTACACTAACTGTATTCCCAGGTCTAGGTTGCAACACCCTCCATGCACAGCCAGGCTCATGCAGCTCAAACCCACTTGTCATCACCAGCTTGTACTCGACCTTGCACAGAGGCAGTAGCTACAGAACTGACAATGTTTTCATGTCACACCATGCAGGCACACTGATGGCGACTTTGGTGTTCAATATTAATTGGGATGAATCATCTTGCAATAAAAGTCCCAGTGCCCAACACCCTCACGCTTGCTGCCTTTAGCATACGGTTTTAGAGGAAACAAACAGTTATGACATTCATCTGTCGCAGCTGACAAAGCAGTCCATAGGAGCAAAGAGAGGGCTGTCATTTGCTCGTTTATGATCTGGCAACCTGGTGATGAATACTGCACTAGGAGCAAGGCTGGCTAGAAAACATGGAAGGGTCAGAGTAACCAAAGAGGACTCCTTTAACCCCTCTTCAGCCCTTTTGCTCCCACTGCAGAGTCCATTGTGCACGTGCAGTGCCATCTGGGCTCCCCTCCCCATTACCATATCCTGTGGCACATATGTCTGGGTTTTCTGCTTTCATGAGGTTGTCCAGACCAGTATGAGTATGTTCTCTGAGTGTTTTTCAACCCTCTCTTATTTAGAAACCAAATCCTATTCATTAAAACCTAAATCACTAAGCCTACCAAATTATTATCCCCAGAATATCGTGTGTCCCAGATTCTCTCTGGGCTGGACGTCTCTTCCTACAGTCATACTCTTCAGGGACTTATACTTAAGGCAGTTAGTTGTTTTCAGGGCATCTGAAACATGAACAAGCTGTATAAAATTGGAAAAAATGTGCAGCATACTACAAATCTTTAAACGGCTTGACAGCTCTGATACCACTGTGTGAGCCTAACATTAAAGGGGTATGCTTGAAAATTTTGGTTATATTGCAAATAACATAACACATATCTAAAAAAAGACATTTTTTCAATTTGCTGTCATGCAAAGTATATCTACCTGTGACACATCAAAATGTCATAAGCTCGCTGCATAAAAAGAATTTCACTAAAAGTGAAATAAACTGCACATTAACTCACCCCTTTCTCACATCACACTTCAGCAGCTTCATTTATGCAACTGCACAGTTGTACAGTTGTGTTTAAGAAAAGTATTTTCTTTCTATTTTTGACTAGTATATACTTGTGTATTTACAGTTTAAGAGTTGAAAGATCGCTTAATATATGATGAAAATAGTAAAGCTCACAGCCATTCCTGAGCATGAGGTCATCTTTCATCGAAAGCAAATTAGTAGAGAAGAGCCAATTAAAAGGAACCTTTGGTGCAGCTGCTGTGGCTGGTTTTCATTATTCCTCAGCACAGCATAAGCAATTCAAACATCGTTTGTGTTCATATAAGGAAACTATATTCTAGTGTAATAGCTTTCTTCCATCCTCCCATGTGTACCTGGTGAATGCACTGTGGTCATCCACAGTTGAGGTGGGGTTTTGTTTATTTTTGATTTATTTTTTATTTTTAAATTTGGTAGAATTTTTCATAGTTAAAGGTAAAGGGAAACTTCTTGTCTCTGTTAAAGTGTATCAGGATCTATATCCTTCACTGCTGATGCAAAACAGCATTTCGTTTTTCTTATTTATTCCACTTCAGTAAATCTGCCTGCTCAGACCTCACATTTTGATTTAATTTAATGCCTGCAAGATAAACACTGTCATTTGTAATAATTTGTAAACCTTCATCTTTAAAATGCATCCAATCTGTCCTGCAGCCCTGTAAAGTATCTGTTAAACATTTTGCTTCAGCTTGCTCCTGGTGTTCTCTTCTGATAAGGGCTGCCGGATACACAGTATATAAAGCTGACTTCTTTCTTATCTCCATCAACATGGGTGTTGTTCCATTTCCAATTAAAAAACTGGGGCAGCAGCTACTCATCTGGGTGCAGAGAAACAAATGTCTGATAAACACCGAATCCATCAGCTGGGTAATAGCACTCCCTGAATCAGGCAGGATATTCATAATAATAATTATTAAAATATAAACCTGGAACACATATAAAATGTAGCAAACTTTAAAATTCTAAAGAAGGTCAATCATTTATCATTCAGTAATTATTCATAAAGCACATTAGCATGTGTAAACTGTCTCAGCTAGACTGCAATCCAAAATAACTGGCTATCCACATTTGCCACAGGGATAGGAAACACAAACCAGAGCCTATGAGACACCACCATTCAGATCTGACTGTATTAAGGTGCTTGAACTGAAAAGAGATCTTGCTGCTCATCCCAAGTGCTTGGCCAGTTACTGCTCTCCAGAGTTCTCCCGAGTACGGGGACCCCTGTATACAGACAGCGTGTAGTCCCAACCCAACTTCCTCCAAGTGTGTATTCTATACAAACACAGCACATCACTGAGGAGGTCCTTTCATTAAAAATCCAACCTGAAAAAGTGTAATTTAAAATTCTGTTACAGGGAAAAACTTCTTAGATTAAAAGTACAATTTGCTATTAGCTAAATGCAAATACTTTCCCCAGAAGTTGGCAGCAGACAGCATAGTGTGTGTGAACCTGAATACCCAAAATGAAATGCTCAGGACCTCTTGCTCAATCTTAGCAACAGCAACATCCCTCAGACTCCTTCAGATGTTGGGTTATCTCCTTGGACAATTCATTTATGGAAGGAAGAGTTAAAAGACTTTGTGATAGCACTTAAATTGCTTCAAGCTATGATGGCTGCCTTGCAATCACTGGATCTAGGGCATCTCATAAAGGATGGCCGTTACCTTAAGTCCAGGTGGGATCTTCGAAGGAGAAGCAAATATTGCAAGCCTGGCAAGCATGTAAGGCACAGAAAGCAAGGGATCCAGTCCAGACAATAAATTGAATCATTTTTTAAGGTGTCAGCTTCTATTTCATACCCCCAAAATGAAGCAGCAGCATTTTCCTGGAAGTTTCTTCACACAGAGAAAAAGCTTATTTTTCTCCATGAGAACTGTTCATGGAGAAAAATGAGAAAAGGGAAAAGAGCCCTTTTGAAAAATCCTGCCATTTCAGAGCCACCTTATACCCTCTGAGCCCATCTGAAAACCGAAGTGGGCTCAACAGCCTTAGCACTTTGGAAAATCTATTGTGTGTCCCCCCCCCCCACCAAATCAAATATGCCTCCTACATCACCACTTCATGGCAATAACTTTGCAGGGAGACCTGGGCTAATTATTTTGCTATTGAAACTAGGAGTAGGACTGTTTCAGCTTTCTGCATTTTAATTCGCTGTGAAACATATTGGGAATTTAAGCGAGTAGAAAAAAAAGAGCATAATGTGAGAGACCATGTGTTACTTTGAGAAATTAGGGAACTGGCAAGAACAAAGCCTTGAAGTGTTACATACACATACCTATGTAACAGATCCAAAGTATAAAATTATCATAAAAAACCTAGGAAATGGTGGTAAAATCAAGATAGGAAGTTCCCCTACTTGCATCCTATGAAGGCAACAGATCAACCACCGTGACTTGGTAACAGATTTACTGTGCTACATGTTGTGCTTTCATCCTTGCCAAAACAAAAGGGAAACCATAAACTCATCATAAACACACTCAGCAACAGATTTCGTTTTGCACAGCTGCTGATGCATACGGATAACTTTCTTTGGTGTTTATTGTACATGAGTTCTATCAGTTTAAAGGAAACTCATCAATCAGAAGCAAAAAATGCTGTAATTTTTGAAGAATGATCTATGAGTTCAAGGTGGTTTTACAGTCAAGGTATTTAGGACATTAATTACTCACAATCTACAGTGAGGTGGGTTATTGTCCACATACACTAATGGCTTTCAGAATTTAATCTCTTATCAGTGGTCCTCCTTTTGTGAAATCCCTAATGGATTGTGTAGAACTATGTCTAATCACTTGACAAATTTCATTTACTTGAAACTGGAGCTAGGTTTGAATCATACAAAGTGTGTAGGAGGAATCAGATTCGAAGTAGGATAACAAAATCTGGTACTGGACAATACGGGGATTCGTCACTACATTCATATCTGAACTGTTTAACAATAAATCAAACAATTCCACTTGGGGAAATGTACTAGTTGTGTATCAGCTGCTTATGCCTCTTAGATACTTAGATTGCTTATAAATGAGACACAACAGGTTCAAAAGTATACTGCGACTCATGTAAAAAGGCAGTAGGGATTTTAGTAATTTTGTTGCTGCTGTATCATTTTGCAAAACAACGTCGCTATAATTTATACAGTAGTCTGCCACACTGAAAAGGGACATTTACTTGGCTTAAATTATATGATGCAGAAACAAAACATCTTTTGGTAGCAGAATTTACCCTCTGAAGTTCAGCACTCCAGACCAAATAAATGACCTGTAAGGAAGGCTGGGATGGATGAAGCACCTCACCTTCTGCGCTGCCATCTCCCTACCGCAGAACCACTACCATGGAATTGTTCTCTCCATTAAGCAGCAATTCCTGATGATTAACACATCCTGAAATCTAATGTTGTGAAACTCATTGCATTATTCTCCATTACCATACCACAAGCAGATCTCTACAACAGCAAAATTTGCCAGACGACACCAGAGAAAAGGAATTTAAAAATAAGAGTAGCATTTGGCATCAAGCTAACTACACAAAGGTTATGTGATATTATAACCTATTATATGTTATTATAACCTAGGTCTCCCACACTGCATTGCAAAGCCTTGCTCCATGGCCAGTCTCTATGAAAACACCAGATTACGGCTCTGAAAACAACATGCAAACACACAGACACACACTACCTCTGTAAACCAAATTTACTAAAATCTGTCAAAGACGCAGCAATAACAAGACTTCTTTTCCAAACATCATTTTGGGTAGGGTTAGGACAGATTCAGAGCAAATACAGACACAGACAGAAAGATTGCTGCTGTATTAATTTGTTGTCAAGCCATGCAGGAAAGGACAGCTGAAAGACCGAAGATGCAGTAATGATTGTTTAAGAGCTATTTGAAAAAGTGACAGAACTGGCCTAAACCTCTTTAAGCCCCCTGAATGAAAAGATTTAAACAGGCTATTGTTAGACCCCTGGGTACCTTTTTTCTCTTGGCTTTGTTCTGCATTTTCCTCTGCTGCAGTTTCCATGGCTGGCTTCATACCATCCACCAAAAATGCCGGCCCCCCCTCCCCCCCCAGCAAGCACTTTTTCTCTTCGCCTCCTTTCTCACTCCCTTCCGTCTCCTATTTACAGCGGCGGTGATTGAGTGGCTCTGTTCTCCCCTACAGTAGATTACAGTCCTTTCCAAAATGCCAGAAAAGTCTTGTCAGCTTCAATTTCGCTCCGCTGACTGGTCCACGAGGAGCGGTGCCAGCGAGCGCTCAGCCATACGTCACCGCGGTCCCCAGCTATAAAATAGCCATCCTGCGCCTGACCGTGCCTCTGCTTGCCATGTCCTGGGGACCAGCATCACCAGCTTGCGCCCCCTTCCCCTTGCCCTCCTCTCTCCTGCTTTTTCCCTGTCTCCCAAAGCTCCCAACAAATGTTAATCAATTCTCTGGGCGGTGAATGGATCGGTGACATTGGGAGGGGAGATGCAGACGAGAAAGAAAGGAGCCCCCTGGCCGCCATGGGGTGAGCCCCCCAGCCGCCGTCTCTAAGGGGAGTGCACGCCGGCACACAATCACAAGGATCCCTTTCCCATGGGACCTCGTTATTATGCTTTGCATTTTGATTTATTCCACATGCCCTCTGCTCTTTCAAGGAGCAGGGGGCGATGGGTCTGTTCTCTCTGTTTGCTTTCTTTGCTGACTAAGTTCCGCTCACCCACGGCAAAAGACTCTGTGAGAGAAGCATAAAAGCAAAAGTGGGTATGTATATGTATATATATAAAATACATGAAAAATTTAAATTCTTTCTCTGACCAGCAAGCACGATGGAAAAAAAGGCACAAAAAAATCCAAGCAAGCAGAAAGGAAGCAAGCTCAAGTGACTTAAAATGCATGTGCAATACCTTAAAGGATAAAATGTTTAAGAAAGCACAGCTTAGGTTTTAAAAGGATGTCTGTCATTAGAGACCTAAAGCCATGCTTAGAAGTGAGTGCAGAGCTGTTGTTAAGGACATGTTTGATCGCTCCCCAAATCCAGACAGGCTGCAATATGATCTAACAAGCTGTACTAACCTGGCTCTGGCAGCAACAAAGCCAGGAAACATCTATGCTGCACTGTGTGAGGTGAATTTAGGTGTGCCTAGCCTGCTTTGAGCTGAGGAGACACAGAGCAAGGCAACACTATGTGGGGCTATTATGCACCTTCCAAGCCCCAAGATAACTGACATATTTAAGGCTGTACTGAGGCTAACTAATCTCGCCTATCACTTTATTGGTCTCAGTGGCTTCACAGCGTGCCACACTGCACATATCAGACATGCCCAAAGGGACCCCTTTTTGTGTGTAGGATGATGGAGCAACCATGGAGCAATGGCA